AACTTATATATAAAAAAATACTTTTTTTATAAAATGTATATTAAAAAAAGCCAGCACAGTGGGATTAAGCCATAGTGGGGCAAGTCACAGAACTGTAACTTGTAAGAATTATTATAAAAGAATGATGAAACCACTTAAATAAAACACTCGGTGCGAAATTATAGAATGTTTCATTCATATTAACAATCATTATTCATTATTAATCAATAAAAATCATTGTAAAGGCGATATTATATTTAAATTGTATTTTTAATATTATTAGGTTGATAGTCTGTTAATAACAACTTGTCGTTATTACTCATATAATATATTTTTTAGCCAATGGTCATTGTAACCGAGGCTTTTGATCAATAAAAAAAAAAAAATATATTTTTTAATACAATATAATAAAAGTATTTTTCTAATCCCTGTTAACTGTTGATTCATTCACACGCATCAAACTCGAAATTTATTACGGTCAAAGTGTAATTTTCCCTTTTTTTCGGGGGGGGGGGGGGGTGAGGGGTCTCGATAAAAAAAAAAATTTGACTGCCGATTTGCAACTCTACTGACCAGGTTACACCCGGTAGATATCAATTATACAACTTAGAGTTTACAATACGCGTTTTATATTCGTATTATAATATATAAGATTGCATAATTGAATAGACAAGTTGTGCGATTGACACGATGACACGTTGCGTTTAAATAAAATTACCTTTTTACTGCTCTGGTCAATGTTATGAAAGGCGCTAATAAAATACTAACATGCGTCTTGTTAGTAGTCATAATAAAAAAATCACATTGTATAATAAAAATATTATTTTATTTTCGTGTCGTAACTACAATAGGTTTTAATATCAAACATTTAATACATGTCGATAACGCGCGAATAGCGTATTATTATGTATCGCAGACGTTAACATTGGAGAAAATAATAATATTATGTTTTTAGGCTTTTGGGTATCAAAATGCGATATAAAAAAAAAGAAGTAAAACCTGTAGGCTCACAAATAAAAATGTATTTCTCGGCGGTATTACAGTGTGCTGTGTTTACTTGCGTCACGTGTTCGGACTAAAGAAAAACTTAGTCACACGTGTCCACGATATGATGACTTTTATTGTAAAAAAATGTCTGTAAAATAGAAAATGTTTAAAACAAAGAAACAGGCATGCCGGCATTCCAAGTGGTTCAATCAATACATTCAATAACAGTTTCTATACCGTACATATCTGATATCCGTTCAGTTTGTCAAACGGCCAAAAGGGATGAAGCGGCCAGTGTTGTTGTTAAGGTCATATGGCCGGATCGGTTCTCAATCACTAGACACTGACAGTATTTTTTTCTTTGGCCAATCGACTGTCTATAGAGAAAAGAAGTGGCTAATCCCCTACCAATCTTGTTTGGTCAGCGTCAGAATGGCCGACATATTGTTATGCAATCTAAACCAGCCATATTGAATCTTAGTGAGTTCGGCGAGAAGAATAAGATGCTTATATAATGTTTATTGTGAAGAACTATTGTCAAACGACCGCAAATAGTTCTTAAAAATATTTTATTATACACAACGAAACGAATCAATAAAACTACCTATGCTATAATATATACAATATGTGTTTACTGTATTATTTTATTGCATGCCCCGTTTCGAGAATTTAATCATACTTAACGTTATGGGCTTAATTTTCTATTTCATTCGGCGATAAATACAATTTATTCCGCCGTCCGCCAATAAATCGAGTTTAAGTTTGCAGTGCACTTAAATGCAATAAACGTTTTGCACAGTTTATATTATTCACACAGGAAAAAAAAACATGTACCCATTAGACGACGCATGGTTTAATATTCTACCGGCATGGCTTTCAATAATTAACAAGTTTTAAAAACGTTTGGCTACATCGAACCGCGGCCGATGGACCTTAATAAGTAGTAATAACACATACCAAGTATTGGGTTTTCGTTAAAAAAAAAAAGACTGCCATTTTACCCGTATAATGATATTATTTTCATAATATCGTTTGTAATGTTCTTTGCTATGAAGTTAAATATTTAAAAGAAAACACAACAAGCTTACACACACATACTATTGTTATACCTTATACCTTCTTAGATCTGCATCATAGCCAAAAGCATACACTTCAATCGCTAACCCTAATCCACCATATTGTAAGACTTTAGTTGAAATATACAATATTCAGTATACTTTGTGCCCCTAACAATAGTGTAGGATATTCTGTAATCTTTATGGTTTTCGTGTAAAATGTAATTTACTTTTATTGTTACCAGATTACTAATTTTTTTGCGGTTCTTTCATTGTTGCAGCTCAAAATCGCATTTCGTACCTGAGACGTTCGTAGGAGTTTACCCATTATACTATGTAATGTTGTATAGATGTTAAAAGACGATTACAGTAGTTTAGGATTAGATCTCGAGCTTCGATAGTTTTATAACTTAATTGTATTTCAAAAAGATTTGTAAATTTGGTTTTGATACTCTGAAACACATTTTTTTATAGAAAACAATAAAAAATATCAAAAACTCATGTTAAACATCAGTTAAATAATAAGTATTTGGATCCAATTAATATAGTCAACGATTTAGTATAATGAGCTCCAGAAAGATTTCTGCAAAAACAAGACTTCGTTGTCGGTGACTGCCAGCGAGTAAAAGTACAAACGCGCTGTTTTTATGTTATTTGACTTTGGCTAACTTTCCGGCATGCCATACGTACCCGTTAGCATATTACTGTAACATAATAATAACATCACGGCAGTGGTGGTGATGTGTGTGTAAAGAACAGACCTAAGAAAAGTTCAAGCGGAGAAAAGTAAACGCATACAACATGCCTCCACCTTAGGATATATTATGTGTGCCGTCAACGTCGCTTCGTGGTCGTGACTTCTAACGAATGTGAGGGATAAAAGTAGTAATAATAATAATAAAATAAAAACCCTAGAAGGAACTCGAGCTGACTGTATGTATTTGCCCAACGAATAAAATTGAATATTCTTAGATTGAATAAAGACAGACAGTTGGCCGCTGACTGAATAGCGATTGTAATGTACAAGATTTATTTCAAATTGAAAGATTCTACTAAGAAGTACGTGAAATAAAAGTTTCAACACTAAACAAACACTTGGATTCCTGTGGTTAACGTCTTTCATTTGACTATAAGTGGTATTTTTTTTTACTAAGAAAATGTTTAAAACTATAACCGCAACGCTTAAACCCATACCGACATTTAAAAATAACAGGTTTTTTTGATAATCACTAAAAATTTGATTACTATAACGAATGCCGTTTCCGTTGTGTCGATTTTAAAAGCGCTTATAATTATAATTAATTAACTGAGTTTTTGCGATTTTTTTTCAAAACAAACCAAAAGTACCGTTCAATTACAATGTATCGCATTAAGTTGTACATAAAAAAATAATATGAAGATATAGCGCGTTATTAATTATGGCCAACGCCAAGTTTTATATATATATATATTATTATTTATTATAATAATATATATTTCGGAAAATCGAAAACGTGTCCTCGTCGGTTGTTGAAAACTCTGTTTCCTTCTGATAGGAATTTAAATTGAAAATACAAAAATTGATTTAACCATCTATAAAAATCCACTTGTCATCGACTACAATTATATTACTGTTATTATTATATTATATTTGACCGTAAACGCACGTTTTTCACGAATTTTCCATCTTGAAGCACGTTTCTGCACTTCTGCTGTCAACGTAAAACCACTTGTTACTATCAGAAAATATTACACATTATTATCCGCGTTCGGCTTATATTTTGCTTTTGTCAAAAGACAAAAATCCAACTTTTGTGAATTGTGGTACCAAACGTGCACTAAGTATTCGGTTGACGTTTTCAAATTGAATTTGATCATATATTTTTTTCTTTTCATCCAATTCGCATTATTCGGTATTATTCTTCGAGCCGCGTATTATTATCATATTAATATTAATACAACATTCGGCCGGGAGAAGAACTCTTGTCGTACCTACGACGTAGCTATATATACTGGCTCCGGTAAACTCAACTAAAGTGCGTGTAGTGTAATCTGACAACACACGTTGCTAACAAAGTTCAACTAAGCCATCAACTATTTGATATAGTCGGCCAAGAAGTATTTTGATCGACGCGACTGTGTAAGACAACCGACCCATCCGGAGGATATTAATTATAATAATTAAGAACGCACTGTGAAAGTGCACAACAAAGTTATGCCTAAACTTTGATTGTAATTCAAATTATTCGTCGCGGCGTAACACAGTACCTCCGGCATAGACGAACATTATTGTGATCGAAGATATCCTACAACTTGAATTCTGTGGGCTTGTGTGTAAATATTTTCTGTGTAGCTTCTTGTCTGATGTGATTTCCAAATGACGAACATAGATGAACGATTCAGTAGTCATAATTTTTACTCTTGCCACCTATAATAATCGTATTTCGATTCTCTTTCCAAAACGTCTTCCAAGATATGAGTTTATAAGTAAATTAGGATTGTGAGACTATATCGAACGCAATTAAATACATTCACGAAATTATATATTTAATTTATTTATACGATATAGCATATCTATATAGTTAGAACTGGGGAACCCTAATTCGTTACAATATGAAGCTGTCTTCGTTATCGAATATTAATATTATACACTAAAAAATATTTTGTTTGCAACAATAATAAAATATATCTGTAAATTTGGTAAATTAAATCGTTAGCGTGTTAAATATTCAATTTCACATCGATGTAAAACGTGTACAAATATTATACTTCTGAATCAATCCATAATCATTCGACATAATTATTTTACTCGTTACATTTATAATGGTAAACGCAGACATTTGTTTTCACATAATTTAAGTATATTTCTGGTATTCTATTAAAACCGGTTTACGATTAACCTTCATTAAGTAAACGCCAAAGGGACCGATTTATATTTGTGGTGTAAAGCATGTGGACGCAGATGATCTCGTTTGAAATGAATAGTTTGTAGGTACTTACGTCGAACGCGCCTTTGATGAGTGGCCCAGCTTGAGCAATGTACAATGTCGATGCCGAGTCGAACATAAGCTCCAACGGATCTCTGATAACCGACTGGATCTGAGGTTTTAAGCACTTCCCGTCCAATACGACGTTCTCCTTTGTCACCTTCAGGCTAATCCGCACGTAATTATTGAGTTTCCATGGCACAGAAAACGTTGCCAACACGTTGGAAGTCGATGAGTACTTGTTAACATCAGTGTACAAAAGACTGACGTTCAATGAGTCGGCCGACGTCGGCACGACTTGCAATCCCAGTTGCACTATCTGTAGAAATAATAATCGTATTGTTAATTTTCATTGCTAACAAAGTCAGATATATATTTAGTATTTACAGTACCCGGGGGCCATTAAACATTTAGTATTATGTTAGAAACCGTAGTAATAATGACCAGTGTTTCAATTATTTTGATCTACAATTTTGAGAATCCCGTGAGATTTTTTATGACGGTGGTAGTCGATTTTTGTTATTTACAATGACTTAGGAACCGTTAAAAATTGTACATAGCTGATAAGTATGCATTTTGAATTTATATGTAAAACTTGAACACTATACTAAAAATATTTACTCCTTCGCGATTTAATTGCGAAAACAAACATACACATAAGTATTTGATTAGTAATTTTTTAACTGAACTTTTTTCCTTGTCCTTTGAACGTGAGCAAGAGAGTTTTCAATGTGGTGATTCTGTGAAATTCAACGTATATTACATTGGATGGATACTTGAGGTAGCAATATAGACCTCGGTTTATATTGTATTACTTTGTGTTTCTCGTAATACAATTATTCAAAGACAAACACAGTATTCAAATTTTAATTATCAATACATACAGTTATAAAAATCACAATTTAGTACATAGATATTTAACAATTTGTTAAATAGATGTTAAATTAGATCACTTGATTTAAATTTACGACAATATAAGTACTATGTGTATTAGTTGTCGATTGTATTGGAATGTAAAATCAAACTAATAAAAAACAAAAGTACTCGTTGAATGACTATGATTTTTTTATGACCTCGTGGCTCATAGATTAGGAAGGGTATTTAACGTGGGTTTAGTAGGGTATATCTACCTTCATTTGGTTTTTAGTTTATTTAGTTTACTAATATAAAAAAATAATAAAATTACTCACATTTTCAAGAGGGTTTACCACAGCGAACAAAAATCCTCCAACCATGGAATTTAATTTAAAAGTGGTGACGGTCGAAAACTCTGGATAAAACTTTTCAGGGAAAACCAACCGATATGGAGCTTTGATATCTGAACCGGGTTTAATGCCAAATGCTGGAAACCCGTCTTCGCCCGTTACGAAAAATATATGCTCAGTATCACGAAATGGCATTTCAATAGACGATAGCAGATCTAGTTCACCTGAAAACAATAAAAAAAGATTTCATACAGATAACATAATGTTCATAGAGAATGATTTCAGGAAACAAACATAACGTAGATATAGCAATGATTCTAAACGTATTAAATATGTTAAAATATTATTATTTTATCAAAATGAATAAGATACTTTAATACAATAAATATAAAGTACATATTTTAATATACTAAAAGAAAAGTGTTTAGTACTTATAAATAATTCATTTTATTCAGGCATAATTTTTGGTAATGCATTTGACTTTTAAACTCAACTAAAATATAATACAAATATATTATACATACAGATTACAGAGTTTTCAGAACTTTTGGCCCACTTGTTTTCTTATGATATACCAAAATTCTAAGAAAGGACCTATGTAAAACTCTTTTAATAAATAATAAATTGTATAATATACAGGGTGATCATTTTATCGTGAACCACTCAATATCTCAAAGGGTATCACCGTGTATTATAATACTATTTTTATTTAATTGATTTGCCTATTAGTCCAAAAAGTAAAAACCTTTTTGAGCTACTAATAATCTTAATTTCTGCTGACTCACAATCAAAAAGACCCCACTTAAGTAAGGGCAGAACAAATCAGTTTCACAGAACAAATGTGCAGGATTTTATCGTCTATGAATAAAAATAGCGACTTAACGTTTTGTAATCTAGAGGGTTCGTTATAGGCGCAGTGCGGTTGTTATTGGCGGATATGGAAAGGACTATACGAGCGACGCTGCTTTTGTACATTACAAGTGACCCGAATACGTTGTTTGCACGGCGTCTTGTATGAATCACATGCACATGCACACAAGCAAGTTTACTGACTTCTAACGTATTTAATTATCTTGTTAAAAGCGGCATCATCATCTAAACAGTCTCTTGGAAACAAAATTTTGATAAAATCTCCGAGGTCTCTTAATGTTATTTCCGACATCTTAAAACCTTTACAAGTGGCCTATTTCCGGGTTTCCTCTTTCTTCTTCCACTACTAACTTGAGGGGTACAACTCAGGAAATTATCTTTTTATCGATCATCCTCCACAACACAACCGCCATACCACGTTAATCATATACAAAAACTTGTTGAAATACTTTTCTGAACGTGACTCGACAATAAACACATAACGCAATTTTCAAATATAATTATATATTTTATGTTCGTGATATATAATAATAACACAAGCTCTATAGTCTATTGTTACAGTAAATTACTGAAACTACTTTTAGCTTATTCACAAATATAAATTATATACTTATACATTTGTATAATTTCCTCGTGACCTACACAATTTGTTTTATTACTATTAGTTATTAAATGACAACAGGAAATTACACTTTAACGTTTAAATGTATACTCTACATGATCTAAATTGATTTCTGTGCATCATTTTAGACTGATTGAAATAAACCGATTCGTTATTTAAGTATGCACGACGTCAAATATATATTCATTATTTCCTCGCCACGAAGACGTTTTGACTATGCTACCGTATAAGCATACTCGTATAATTAAGTTCCTATTCACGCGTGTGTTAAATCACACATAAAGGAGACAAATATATAGTTATCTAGATGGTTTCACAATGTTAATAGACACGCCCAGTATCATAAGAAGGGTTTACGACATGAATACTAAGATGATAGTTTATCAGTTACCCCTTATATTTTGTAAACTTTAAAGGTAGATGCATTTTTCTAAGTTGCTTTTTTAAACTAATTATAATTATTAGTTGTTTGATATACATTATACATATTTCATTTATGAACACTAAATATACAATACTGCCTTTAAATGGAACTTTAAATTGAAAACAGACATTACAAAATAAATTGAAATTATTATTTTAAGCGCAATTGCCGGTTGAACATTTTATATTTTTTTATAAAAACATGATTTTTTTTATATCGTTTTTCTTTACCTTTACTAAATGATGATAATATTTAAAAAGCCCCGTCAATTGAAGTTTTCTTGATGTTATTTACATAAATAGATTACTACATTCATATTTGTATACACATTTTTTTAATTTTAATTTTTACACGTAATAAACAATCTGTATCAATTATACTAGACACAATAAGAATATGTGATAAATGTTATAAAAATCATGAAGTTTTTTTGAAACAAGTCATTGATAACACTTTCTGTTAACTTGCTATTAATTTAATTTAAGAGATCTCGATACCAATTACGCTTCAGACGTCTCGGAGGATTACCAGTTATTGTAGGGGTGGCCAATTTTTTTATTAATGGATTTGGATGATTATTTAGGCGGCTATGGAATCGTTTATAAAAGATTTTTGCTTCATCATTTATTGTTTTTAATTTTAAGTCGGAATGTAGTGTATGATTTGACACGTTGGGTGGAGCATTCGTTAGTTTTCTAAGTGCAATATTTTGAAAGGCTTGGATTTTCATTATGTTTGACTTTTTCGCATAGCCCCAGAGTTGCAGGCCGTAGATCCATAGTGGTTTTAAAAATGTTTTATGTATACACATAAAATATAAAACGTGTCTACCATTTTCAATTTATATTGTTTCACGCGTTTATTTTATGTAAAAAAAAATATATTGAAGAGACTTGAACTTAACCGAATAGTCCGGTTTCGATTCGTTACTTTAGATGTAATTCATTTTCATAGATAAATTAAGTTGAAATTGGGAATCATTAAATCATTATTTATTTTTCTTATGGACTCAATTTTTGGGTTTTAGATTTGTATTGTCCGGAACTGTTCAAGTAGCATATTAACATACTGCGGTATGTTGTGTCGCGGCGAGTCATAATTATTTAATACAAATATATATACTTTAATACTTTTAGTCTAACACGATAATAATAATGGCCGTTTGTTGAAGGGGCAGAAGACGGTTAAGACCACCTTTTTGGTTGACCAACGTCGACAGAGGTCATCACGTTGACGGTGTTCCGCCGGAAGTACCGCGTTAACTCGGAACTTATTAGCGGAAACGTTTTTTGGCGTCTGTCTTTGAGAAACGAATGGCAGCGAACGGGAGACGTGGCGACCGATTTATTTATGGGATTATCAATGTTTGCCACGGATACCAATCTGTTGGTGCCGCCGGCCGTCATCAATTTCCCGGAGCCGATGAGAAAAAAGAAATAACGAGAAGGGGGTGGGAAGACAGTCAGACGGTGTATATATATATCCGTATACGTGTTGGTTCATTTGTCCCGTCGTAAATCCGTGTGGCCGACCGATTTTTCTAGAGGTTTTAACTGGACCCGAGAAAAACGTAGACCGCACAAACTAAAGGATAGGAGGACAGCGAACTCGGAAAATAATTAAATTCCGTACAAAAGGGTCGCGGCCCCGGGCCGGAGGAGGGGGAGCGGTAGAAGTACACGGCGGCAGCCGTGGGATACATCCGTTGTCGGCGCAATTTATCAAACGATATTTTTCGGTCGTCGCGGAATTACACCGCCGTGCTCCGAAAAGAAAGTCATAAAAAATATATATATATATATATGTGTGTACAATAAAAAATAGGGGGAACAATTTTTAACTCTTAAAAATAACGCGATTCCGCACGCATAATATTGTAAGCGTTGCGGATGTGGTTACGGTTACAGAAGAAATCACGGTCGTCGCTCGCCATCTATCATACGGTCTCGTATACACTAACCAACACGAGGGCATTAAACAGACAAACACAGATGGCTGTCACGTGCGAGTTTCCAAGAGATGGCGGTATAGTACACACGCATGGTGATCATAAAATTTGTAAATATATGCTGCTCATGATGTACATGCCCAGAGTTAATATTATGTAATAATTATACAATACACGAGCTTGCAAATATCATTAAAAAAAAAAGGATACCGTTTTTTTTTTAACGCAATTAAATCTAATGCCATTCAACAAACATAAATTATATATTACTTGTAGTATTATAAAAACACTCGAAGAAACGAAGATACGACATAATCTTATTATCCATCTCAAGTGTAGCAAAATAATAAATCTACTTACAATGAGTTTTTATCGGTAAGATCATAAGTTCGGCTAATGATCCATAAATCTATACGTTATATTATACAAAGATGTAAAGTCTTTTGATTAAGCCATCCTGAATCCATCAAAACGGATGGATTCGGTGTGGCAATGTTATATTTAGAATAAAACAGAGCGTTTGTAATGGACGCAACGATAGTTGTTAATATAATAAAAATAACAGCTTACAAATAATTCTTATTATAGCTATACTAATAAATATACACTATAGTTTTAGTTAATAATTAAGATTCTGTGAATAATAGGCTTTAATAATGTTCTATTGATAAACTATTTTTGTAACTTTCAATTCAAAACAAATAAAATCTCTATATTACTAAAATTGAACTAGTTATGTTCACGCACTGTAGAAATAGTTTTAAATGTTCAAACACGTCGAAACCACATCATAGATTTTTTTTTTTTATAAAAATACATTTTTGAAATATATCTTAACATTTGTCTGTTATGCGAGGTACTGTTTTTTATACACATCGACCGCAAATGCGTGCCGAGAACAACACAGCATATTTTAGTGATTATTTTTTTTTTTTTTTTGCAACCTGGTTAAATGGCCGGAAATTTATTCCCTTGACTTTTTTCTTTAATTTGTATATTAACTGTATAAATTGTTTATAATATACTAAACGTACCTGCTGACCACGTTATTTCAAAGTTATATGAACATCGTAAATCAGTAGGTTTATGTCAGTTGGCATTTTTTCCATCGAGATCAGAAAACCATAGCGCGGGAAAACAACGAATAAAAGAACTTTTTAATGCCTCCTAAAAAAGAGGTATATATATATATATATATATATATATATATTATAATTATTTATTATGTTTACAAACTAGACTTTTTTTCTGTTACAAACATAAATCGTCACTCCGCTGACTGTACGAGCACACCTCTTATATAAATATTAATAAATTGTAGGTAGGAGCTATAAAATAGCATACGCTATTACATTTGATCTTTTGCTACTGATCAAATAATATATAATGTTATAATAAAGTAATATAAAATATAGTAATACATAGAGTTCGCAGAGGAGGTCAGATATGATAAAAAAAAATTTCAAGCTGCTATATTAATGTACACTATTTAAAGGTATAGGCTTTAGTATGCTTTTTTAACTGACTTGTATCGATTCAAAAATGAGATGAAGACAGTTTTTATTATAAAACATACCGAAAGTCATAATATTATTAATTATTACATTAATACATTAATACATTAAAAAAAAATTGGAATAGGTTTTTACTATTATTAAGTTTTTATACTTCAATTAAATAATTAAAATTGCAATATTATTACCATGGAGCTGTTGAAATATTATATACTATATTCATTATTCATTTTAAATTATTTATATATTTCAATAATTTAAAAAGGAGACGTGTCATCATTTTGTAGTTAAGTTTGGTACATATTATGATTTAAAAAGTTGTAACATCCCATTAAAAAAATATTAATAAAATGTCGACTAAGAGCTTTAAAAAAATGATCACGATCTCAAGATAATTTTGTAACATTTTAATTTGCAATTGTTGCCCGCAAAAGTTCAACTGTTTTTGTTACTTCACGTTCATTAAGAATGCATGTCACAGTGCCGGCGCTTCTTAAATTTATTATTTTATAATCAAAGTTTATGCAAGACTTCTCCAAGTATCTCAATTATTATATTTAACAATTAAAACAAAATATTCACTTATCAAAAGTATCCCTTTATTTTAAACATGTTAAGATATAAGGTAACAGATAAGTTTTAACATGGTTGTACACATTATTTTTATCAATAGAATAGTGCACGTTATGTTTTTTTTAATATTGACTTATGTATAGTTATAGATGCCTAATAATATTTGTTTTAAAAATTAGAAACAAACTACCAAAGACACAATTATAAACTGTTATAGGCGACATTATAAATTGTTTATACTTTGTTATATTAATATATACTTCCAAACGTTAAGTAAAATTTAATCAAATATACTTATTTTATATGCGCGTCATGATATCGATACAAATGTATACATGATATTTTGTATTATTACTAGTGTAATGTACATTGTTACTTTATATGGCTGTAGCCTGTAAAATGTAATTATTTTGACTATGCACTATGTAAACTGATGTACACATGAGCGTACCAATATTGCATACATGAATCGCCGTGAAATAATTTTACCCGTCTCAATAATACTAATCATAACTAAAAAAAAAATTTTTAATTAAAAAAAAAATAACTTTGGACTTAATGGGCTAATATTATACTAATTGATTATGTTGTACTAACATTAATATAATAATTTTCCATATGTGATTTTTCATTTATTTAAAAAAACTACAGTTGAGTTATTGGAAAACATGACATTTTTATATAAAGTTCAAATCAGAAATTTTCGGTACAAAATACTCATTTATTTATCCTCCTCACGTCACCATTTTCTCTTCTATCTCAGGACTGTGCCAAACAGTTCTACACTGCTTTGGGAAATATTTCTCCAAGTGGAACTAGCCCTTTCTAGTAAAGCTGTCGACTAGAGGAGAGTATCGAAGATAGACTATAATTACACATAACACACCACATAAACACACAAACAAACATACTTTGATACTTCAAGATAAGAAAGGTATGTATTAAAATTGACCCATTGAGAAAAAAATAATACAAATAAACAAAGGAAAAATAAATGTCCATAATATTGTAAGAAATCATTCACTGTACAAAAAATAGTCGTGTAAGACCTTATTATTGATATTGTAAAAGACTAACTACCAGAACGGCGTTATTTCTTTTATTTTTTTACAATTAATAATAATTATCCACTGAAAAGTATTATTTATTTGATTGAAGAGCAAAGCGTATGGTAGTACGATAAAAAAAAACACTAAAACCGACTTGTTAATGTTTTTAATTTGCGTTATCAGGGTTGTAACATCAGCGCGTTTCAACCAAATTGCCAAGTCGCATACACGTATAACGAGTTTTCGGACCACGTGACGCAAGTAATAAAACGAAAGGGTAAAGTAGTTAAAAAAAAAAGTGGCAATTTAATGCTCATCCTGTTATTACTATACTTAAGTCTCGGTTAACGTTTTGTGCAACAACAAAAAAAGGACGTTCGTGCCTTTTTCTCCTCTTCCTTCTCCACATAATTTTCTAGATACCAGTTTTGAAAATTACGGTTTTTTCTTTGAGTTCATCCACTCGACGCCATATTTATAACCACACGAAATATTGTAGACCACCGTTGGTTTTCCGTTTAAAACACAATGCAAAATTGCTCAATGTAAACCGCACACGGTGAGTACGCGCGTTGCCTGTCAATGCTTGTGGCAGCCAAGCTTGGTGTTTTGAAAAAACGTATACGTTTAAGTGAACAAACGGAGTCGTAAATCTTAAGAACATACCAATCAGAACTAAAAAAAAACAACCCCGAGCAAGGGGCTGTAGCGCTAACAAACCGTTTCACAATAAAGAGAAGCTGTGACAATGGTACGTGCCAAGCATGCCGGAAGTGTAACACTTTTGGTTATTGCCAAAGCGCAGTGACAATATTGGTCATCGAGATTCTAGATTTAATTTCCTCACCGGCGCACACTAAAAGCAAAACAAAAACAACAAATACCGTAAAGCACCTTCGCACGACTCTCGGCTAATGTCGTCTAAGTTCACAATAGATTTTCGAAGCAAAAATACGTTCAAAAACCGCATACTTTCCATTTCCGGAGACAAAAGCACGTTCCCTAGAATAAAACAAGAATCGTAGCTCATATCAATTTCACGTTAAAGTGTAATAAAACATATAAAATCGAATACAGCCTAAGGTTATAAAAACTAAATGAAATGGAACTCGAATGAACATTTGACAAGGAATTATTTTCTCTAGACGACACCGTCACGCCATCTATTCCCGAAATCAAATTCTTTTTGAATTTTGTTTTTTTTTTAAATAAATTGAGGTACGCAATACGACGGAAGTTTGGGTGTACTTAGAGTTTCTAAAATATTTACTTTTGATACTACATGTTCTTGTGTTCAACCCTCCCCCTACTAATTTTTTAAATAAAAAATTCTCTGGGTTAAAAGAAAGCAAATAAAGTAGACAAATAAATATTGAAGTGCCAATAAATATCAATTGTGTTACTTATCGGTTACTCGCAAATAATTTGTTAATATTTTTAAAATAAAAAATATTTAAGAGATTACCTACTACAATATGTGAGTTTGACGTAAAAGTATATTTTTACAAATTTTTATAATGGTATTTTTGGTTAAAAAAATAACAATCAATTTTACAATAAATATAAAATAAACGGAATAATGCTATCTTAAAGTAGTGTTACAGTTGTAAAAAAATATTGTGGTGCTTACCGATGCATAACGTCTGCTTTTAATCTGTTTCAAAGCTGTTGTAAAAATTACATTAATAATTTGAATTATTTTTATCTCTTATGTATATTTTTGCTTCGGTACAAAGCGGATAAAGCGAACTTATACGAATATTAGATAAAGCATGCTATAGACGTAGGTAACAAAAAAAGTATAAGCAATCATTATGGTACAGGAATCATAGTAAAAATCAAAACCTTAAAAAATAGTTTGCTTGCATCGAGCAGGGACCAACTTCAGGAAATAAAAATATTGTTTTTTATTAATTTTATTATTCGATTACACAACTGTAAACTTCAAATACACTTCACTTACATATTATTTTTATGCAATTTTAATAAGCAAAAACTTATTCGTTATAAAACTTACTTTTATATAGAATCTAAACATACCTACGTTTACAATTACCTAATTATAAAAACAAATCAAAACTAATTCATCATTTGTTAAAACATAATGGTCCAAGGAAAATAGTGTACTATAAACTTGTAATTAGGTTGCAAATGCATGATAAAACCAAAATAGGCAAGGTGAAAATTATTACCTGTTTGGCTGTAATTGTTTTCCTGGCCGACCGTGAGTCCGTAAAAAAATGTAGTACTAATAATAACAGCTTTTATTAAACTGAAACAAAATTAAATCATAATATTAATAATTTACTATTGATTAAATTATACATTTTACAATGTATATATATATATATATACATACACAATTGTATAATTCATTGTAGCAACAATAAACAATTAATGGATATAAAGGTAAAAATATGGAACAGCAATTAAATTTAAAAACGTATTACCATTGAATATAGATAAAATGAAACTCAATGGTATTACTAAAATGCACTCTACGCCATCTAGTCAGGGCTTTAGCAGTCAACAACGTTGTTTCGACTTTAAAAAGATTTACATAAGGTTGTTCACTGGAACTTTTCATCGAGCCCAGATGTCTCAATATTTGCAGTACTTGACAATTTATTACTTGTAACCATATTATGATTCGCATATATCCAATACATCATAATTTATAAATAGCATACACATCTAATGTCATTATTTTATAATTAAATAAAGGAAGTAGTTGTGTAACCACGTAGTATTTTGGAAGGAGATGAGTAGCTTAAATTATTACTTTACAGGTATTATATGACCTGTAGGTTAAGTTAATTAAAACATATTTGTTTAAAGAATGTGTTGACTTCTTAAACTATTTTGATCACGTCTTTAAATTTTAACAATATCAGCTTACATATGACCCAGCACTGTTGTTAATAGGTCTACTCTGAAAAATTAAAATGTTTGAAACTGCTATGTATAAATATAATTTCCAATAAGAAGATTAATAAGTGGAAGATTTTCCTTCACTATGTAACAATAAAGGGTTTTTTCCCCTAACTCTGGCACTATAGTTCTTGATTTACCTACTAACAACTATTATTTTTTATTCAGATGCCAGCTTTTTTTTTTTTAATACAATTGTGGCGTTATGTGAGTGTGATCATTCTAGAAGCCGTCGGTATACGAACGTGGGAGAAAACAATGCTAGCTTACAGTTAGTGCTGTATGCGTACAGCACGTTTACTCTATTGTTGTTGTTATTGCTGATATTATCATTATTATAATATCGGCTATAGCCTATATGGACAACAGATATTGTACTTGTGGGGTGTATCTGTTTTAGAAAGATAATCGGAAGTCGTTCCAATTGCCATTGGCACGCGTTAAAGAAAAGTACCGATTACATTAAATTTTCTACGAAAAGGCAATTTTTACGACTTGGAATTTCATTAGAGCTAAAGCAAATGTACAGTCGAGAACCAAGTTAGCTTTTAGCATGTAAGCACAATACACATAACCATAAACGTTATTTTAATTTTACAAACATCACGGTAATACGTTGTCTAATAACAGTTCACATTGTTTTCATATTCACTTAACAACAAGCTTCTTGGAATTAAGCACTCTACTTTATTTTTATATTTTTTACAACATTAAGGAGTCCGAAAACTGTATTTGTTCTTTCTTCATAAACATGCTCACAGCAAAAACGATATCACCGTGTTAAACCAATTTATTATTTTAGTTTTCCGTTTTATTTTAAAAGGGGATCGTCTACAGTGTTGATATCCGTTTTTAAATTTAATTTTAATCTTAAATAACATTTTCTTACGTGTTTTCTTAAATATCATTTTCGTATTTTTTTTTTAATATTTATCTTATAATTTGATCAAAGCTTGTTTACACAAAATAATTTTTATTATTTTCGCATTCGTTTTTGTTTTATATTAATAAAAGAATAAAATTACGTCAAAAATATTATAATCTAGTTAGGATTTGGTTATAAATACATTTTGCTTGTATAATACGAAATTGATACTGCTTTGTGTATATGCCCAATAATTGTTTTTCTACTACTCGCAGTCATATTCTCAATATAATACATTTTAGAAAAATACAACTATTTTCATATTTTAATTTAGTTATTGACTCATACCTAAAATAAAATGGAACAATATCGTTTAGATTGTTAACAAAACAATTTTAATTACAAAAGGGCTTTCAAACGATTGCTTGGAAAATATGAATAAAATGATCCTTATCTTGTTGAAACTTAAACATTTACTTTACTTAATAATAAAACATAACTATTTAACAATGTTTACTGTATAAATAACGTCTGATTGGACAAAGTAATGTATGTACTACCTATTTAATAATAAAACCCCGTGGTGTGACGGTATACCGTGATGAATAGATTTACAGCCCCAAAATAGTATTAAGTGTAATGGGTTAAAAAAAAAATCATTAATATGTTATATCCAATTATGGATGACCATTTTTCATAAAACTACTCCTGTATTAACTAATCAGCAAAGGTAGGCCTGCTAAAGAAAGTTTCTAATCTAAAAATATGTCGGATTTCACATTTTTTGTATTACCTATTTGTAGTATTCATATTTTACGAGATTTTGGCATAAACAAAATGAATTAAATGTTTATAACGATTTACATTTCAAAATAAATTTATGTGGAAAATTGTCTATTTTTTGCCTACCCGTTTTCTTTAGGAATAATGCTTTCTAAAGTGTTTTAAAAAAATGTAATATTTAATACATTCATAATTTTTAGCACCACAAAAACGAATTACGCCTAAAGACTATGTACCCAAACACACTTTTTATAATACACAGACTGTAATATTTTTATTCCAAGAAGTCGTTATTTAATTCTATTATAATACTTGATCGCAAGCTTTTAGATTACTTTATTAAATACTCACAAGTTTTCATGATGCTGGCATGACAAATGCCGTTTCAAGGAATTGAATTAAAACGCGAAGGAATTTATTAAAAAACTATGTAAAAACTCTTAGAAAATATTAAGCTCGACGCGATACCGTTACAATTTCGTTTAAGTACATAAAAAGGTATACTTGGTGATGGGGAAGGCAAAAGGTATTTCCGAGGAGATTAACCTGTATTTTTTTATAATAATAAACGAGAATTTACATAAATTGTTCAGTAAGTATGGAATTATTTTAATTGTTTTTATAGTTAAAGATGTTATAATTTGTAAGTTTCTTGGTAATCGTTAAGAACCGAAATATTTTAATGAATTTTTCAGACAAAAACTTCCGGATGATATGATTTCTCTGTTTAAACTCATAAAAGTCACCATTCAGAAAAAATTAACTCCGTTACCTTTTTTGTTCAGTACTATTATTAGCTTTGTGTGACTTCAAATGACGTAACGCATTCGATAATCCTTTTGCACGCCCAACATAATAGTTATGTAATGTGGTTTAACGACAACAAGTGTTTTTCAGCAAAAATATTATTAGACCGTATTTATACATCACATGCTGAAACTATACTAGGTGCTATATAATCAATCAAGCGGTAAATGCATTGATACTTTGTATACAATTATTAGTAATAAATCAATAACAATCAGTGTCATTATTGTATGAAATTATTATTATTTTTTACTTTTATTCATTACATTTTTAACTTATTATTTAAAAACATAGTATTATATTCTACTTCAATAGTTATACCGTAATGAAATGCATCAGAAAAAAAAGAGAGTAATTAGATTATTACAAAATAAGTCATTAACAAACAAATTTTAATGAAATGTTAAAGGTTCGCTGCATTTTACCTTTTCCGGAGTCAGTTACACAAATATAAAGAAAGATACAAGATACTTCCAATTAACACAAGATACTTTCGAGTAAATTATAAAAAATATGTTTTTTCTCATTACTTTAAAAAAAAAAAAAACAGATATTATTCTTCACTTCGGACATTTTTCTAAAAAAAAGTATATCATGAAAAAAGGACACCATTTATTTTAGTTTAATTAGTTTTGAATTTATATTATTTTTATTTTCAACTATCGAGTAGCATTCTTTACAAATTAAAAAGGGTATATTATAATAAAGCTAAAAAAACATCTAGAAATTAAAATAATTTTAAGTCACACGGCCAAGTATGTGTTTTTTTTTTTAATATAAAATGTATTGTTCCTAGTGACATTATTACTTAGGTAAAAGTTTTAAGATTTTGTAATCAAAGTACATAGGATATAAGTGTGTGAGGCTGTATAACTATTGAAGAATTGTTACACAAAATATATATTTTCTCCTGATTTTTATATTTTTTATTTGATAATTTAGCTGGTGATTATTTTTTTTTCGTTATCTGTGTTATTTGAATAAATAATGATTAAAATCGCTTACAACATTATTTCTCAAGAAAATATTTTTTTTCCTACCTAACTGAACGGTTAACGGTTCATTAATTCATTATATTTTCTTATTGACCATAATTTCTTAAAAAAAAAATAATAATATTTACTAGTCAGCAAATTTTTAAACATAATATTTTATCATCTGTTATTTTTTTTTATTAACATGATTATATTTTATGGCTGTGGTTAGTTTAAAATTGTGTATAACTTTTCAGAAAGATCAAAAGCTGTCCTATTGTTTACTCGTTTATTCTATTAATTTACTCGTTGAAGAGGGGGACACTTTTTAGATTCGGTTACTTAGGCGATTACATATTAACTTTTCTTGTTAGTTGGTTTTTGGTTGGTAGGTACGGGTAACCTAACTTAATACCCGTAAGGCGGCGGGGTCATGACATGGGCCGTCGTTAAAAGTTCCTGGTGGTCACCTATCCGAGACCAAACGGCAACGGACATAGCTTTACCTCAGGTGCCAAATGACAACTAAGGTAACCACTGCGCCACACCATGACATTTATTTTATTTTATTTAACTTCAAATTACTCTAGGAGAAATAAAAGCTATAGTACTTCTCACGTTAACCTAAGTAGATGTTTACTTTTCAAAATATATGCACGTATGCCTATAGAAAGCAAAAAAATAATGTCAAGACAACATTCACAATATAAACTATAAAGTACATAAATCTTGATGTATTGCAAAATGTCCGAACAAGATATCCATATGCGTAATACATCAGAGTTGTCATAATCCAAGATTTATATTTTCTTCAATAATACTTAAAAGTAGCTAAAACGATAATAAGTTTTAATTTGACAACATTACAAAGTACAAACTGAATATATTTTACATTACACCTTGAATCTTTGA